GTTCGTGCCTTGTACCGTCACATATTATTCACCGACACCCCTCTTCGATAGATCACCGTCTGCGACGTGACTACCGATTTCGACACCACAACCATACCATCACATTCAAACCTCAACACAACACTCGAACGACCAAACTTCCACACAAACCACGGTCACACCAATTAACATATCAAAGCTAATTTATTGACCAACGACTAATCGACAAACAAATCAACCAATTAACAACCAACTAATTATCAAACATTCAATCAATCAATTAACAGCAAATCAATAACTAACCAAATCAACCATCAACCAACAAGTTAATCACCAATCGATAATCAAGCAACCCACTACCGCAACCGAAAATACCATGGCAGGAGCTGTAGTAGACACCCCCTCAGGGTCCACCACACCCGCCCCCCCTACAGATCTCCGCCCCTCGGTCCCGGTACTCTCATCCATCGATGGAGAAGCCGCGTTCCGGTCCGCTTGGGCTAACGACGCTCCGGGCATCATGCAGGAAGTCTGGACTCTCAGCCAGGCCGTAACCAACATGCACGAGGAAATCATAAGACTTCGCCAAACCGCCATCACCACTGCCAACACTACGAATTCACACATCGAAACCCTCCAAACCCGCCTGAGCACCTGCCTCATGGAATCGAGCGATAAAGATGACACAATCTCCCACATGGCAGGACAACTCGAGGCATACAAAGCGATAGCCGCTACAGGAGGAAGCCATCACCAACGCTCCGCTGAGCACCCTAAACCCGACCCATTCAGCGGAGACAACCCGAAGGGTCTGCCAGAATTCCTGCAGAAACTCGAACTCAAATTACACATGAATAGAGACTGGTGGACAGACGAAACAGAACGAATGGGGTTCGTCATTTCATGCCTCAGTGGGGACGCCCACGCCCAAGTCAGTTACAATGTGTCACACGGAATCGTCAAGTTTACAAACGTCGAGGCAATCATCACAACCCTGAAGACCGTTTACGGCGATATTGACTCGGCCGCCACTGCACAAAAAGAGATATATGACATGAAACAAGGCCATAAACCACTCGCAAGCTTTCTGCCAAACTGGATCGCAGTCGCCAAGCTTACCGAATTCGAAGACAAATCCTTGATCTCTCACTTGAAACGTGCTCTCCACCCCGACATCATATGGAGGCTCGTAGTCCTCAAATCTACACCAACCACTTTGGCGGAATTCATCGAACTAGTTAGGCAATGCGACAGTGAATGTCGTCAGCTCAACCCCGACTATTATAAGAAGAAGCCCGGCAACAACAATATCTTTACCGGCTCGGCCCCAGCCGTTTCTCACTCCCAAACTCCGACGACTACGAGTGGAGGGGATGCCATGGACCTGAACGCAGTCTCCTGGGGGGCCAAAGACGTAACCTCCGGTCGTAAACCTCGAACCTTGGAAGAAAGACAAGCACGCAAGGCCTATTGCATCGCACACGGACTCTGCAACTGGTGCTATTCCCCAGATCACAAACCTCATGTCTGCCCCACGGCCCCTTGGAACAACCAAGAAAAAAAAGAGTAGTCTCCAACGGAAGTCGCCGCAGGAGACGCAAAAGAAAGGCAGACCTACAACTCTCTTCCCTAGACACCAACCAAGCTCACTTGCTATTGCCATGCAGCCTAACTGAAGACACTAATGCAAGTTCAATCAAAACCAATTCCATGCTTGACTCTGGCGCCACGGGAAAGGGATTTATAGACGAATCCTTTGCGCACACCAACAAATTCACGTTTTACAAGCTTCGAAACCGCCGCCGGCTGAATGTAGTCGATGGAAGACCCTCCTCGGCTGGCGATATCACTCACGTAGTAAAACTCTACATGGAAATTAAAGGACACAAAGAAAAGATTCTATTTTACGTAACGAAGCTTGGGAAGTACGATATCATTCTCGGGAAACCCTGGCTAACAGACCACAACCCAAACGTCGATTGGAGCACGAATACGGTTACCTTCAACTCCAATCATTGCCGCCAATACTGCATGAAGAAGGGACAATACCAACTTGCAGTCTCGGGAGCCCACGCTTTGCCAAATCCACCAACTGCAACCTTACATCCACGTCCATCAATCCCCCGAAGAGTCAGCGCACCCGCATTCCACGCGCTGGCCAAAAAGCAAGACGTCGATGTATTCCCACTATCTCTGTATGAGATCGATAAAAGACTGGCTGAACTCGGTGTTATCACAAACGTCTCCACGTTCGCAGAACCTAAAGCAGACCGATTCGACGCCGCACTTACGGACGTGCAAAAGATGAACCGAGAACTCCAGTCGCATGAAAAAATGACACCCCTTAACCCCAGAGACCAACAAACGCAAGAACTCCAAGCTTCTCGTAAACTAGCAGCAGACATGTACCTTTCAGGGGCATCACTCGAGGATATTCACAAAGCCCTCGAACCCAAGACTTTCATCGACCCCGCAACAAAAGTACCTGAACACTACCATGAATTCCTAAAAGTATTCGACCAGACAGAAGCAGATAAACTCCCCCCGCACCGGGACTGCGACCACGACATCGAACTTCAACCCGGCACAACCCCACCCCATGGACCTCTGTACGGCATGTCTGAAGACGAACTTATCGTTCTCCGGAAATTCCTCCAGGAAAACCTCGACAAGGGTTTCATACGTGCCAGCACATCGCCAGCCGCCTCGCCAGTATTGTTTGCGAAGAAACCAGGAGGCGGCCTTCGATTTTGTGTCGACTACCGAGCACTTAATGCCATAACCATCAAGAACCGATACCCTCTACCATTAATCCAGGAGACCCTTACGCAGCTAAGCCAGGCCAAGTATTTCACCAAACTCGATGTCGTGGCAGCGTTTAATCGGATACGCATCAAAGAGGGCCAGGAGTGGATGACCGCATTCAACACAAGATATGGACTCTTCGAGAGTCTGGTGATGCCGTTCGGACTATGAAACGCCCCAGCTACCTTCCAAGCACGGATCAACGAAGTATTACGCCCGTTCCTGGACAGATATTGCACAGCCTATATCGACGACATTCTCATCTACTCAAACGACCTCGCCTCCCACAGACTCCACGTCAAATCAGTGCTCCAGGCGCTTGAAGCCGCGGGCTTGCAACTCGACGTCAAGAAGTGTGAATTCGAGACTACCGAAGTGAAATACCTGGGCATGATCATCTCAACCACGGGAGTACGAATGGACCCAGCGAAGGTCAACTGCCTCGTCAACTGGGAAGCGCCCATCAATGTAAAAGACGTTCAGGCCTTCTTAGGATTCTCGAATTTCTACCGACGATTCATCAAAGGATTCTCACGCATCGTACGACCACTGGTTGCTCTGACACGTAAGTTAGTCAAATGGAATTGGACCTCATCTTGCCAAGAGGCGTTCGACACGCTCAAAGACAGCTTCACCTCGGCCCCAATCCTCAGACACTTTGACCCCGCAAAAGAGGTGTTTGTCGAATGCGATGCGTCCGATTTCGTGTCTTCAGGCATCCTCTCACAGGAAGACGATCAAGGGGTTCTGCACCCAGTGGCCTTCATGTCTAAAAAATACGACCCCGCTGAGTGTAACTACGAGATCTACGACAAAGAACTTTTGGCAATCGTACGCTGCTTCGAATGCTGGAGACCCGAACTCCAAGGCGCACACCACCCGATCACAGTGATTACCGACCACGCCAATCTTCGATACTTCATGACAACTAAGCAACTTTCAAGACGTCAAGTCAGGTGGAGTGAATTCCTATCACAGTTTCAATTTGCCATTAAGTCGGTACCAGGAAAGGACAACAGAAAACCCGACTCACTTACAAGGAGATCACAAGACTTGCCAAAAGATGAAAATGACGACCGCATCCAATACCAACAACAATCACTGCTCAAACCACACAATATTGACTCCTCCGTACAAGAAGAACTGAAGATTGACCCTGAGCTCTCAGAACTCTTTGCAAACCTGTCCTGGGACCAGGAAATTACACTATGCCCCGCCGTTCTGGACGAAGTTGAACCAGAACCAATCAACCACAAAATTACAAGACTGCTAGACAAGGGTTACGAAGATGATGAATGGTGGATGAAGATCAGGGACGAGATGCTCAAACCTCACGGCATCCCCCACTCAAAGGAAGTCTCCCTATCGGAATGCACGATAAATGAAGGCCGATTATACTTCCGAGAGAGATTGTACGTCCCAGAAGGCGAACTACGAACCCTTCTCACCCAACTCGCTCACGACAGCGTCGAGTCAGGCCACCCTGGGAAGAACAAGCTATACGAACTCATCTCACGCTCATACTGGTGGCCGAGGCTCAGCGCTGACACGAAACAATTCACACGCAATTGCCACGGATGTGTGAGGAACAAAAACTCCCAGCTGCGGTACCAGGGAACACTGAAGCCTCTTCCAATCCCACTGCAAAGATGGAGAGACCTATCTGTCGACTTCATCGGCCCGTTTCAACCCACTTCCCGTGGATTCAACGCAATCATGGTCGTAGTCGATAGGCTGTCAAAGGTCAGACATTTCACGCCCTGCAGGACTAATATGAAAGCACACGACCTAGCCATGCTATTTGTACGAGATGTATGGAAACTCCACGGCTTACCAGATTCAATTGTGTCTGATAGAGGACCGCTGTTCGTCTCAGAATTCTGGAAAGCAGTCTGCCACCGATTACAGACCAACATCAGCCTTTCCACAGCGTATCACCCCGAGACCGACGGCCAGACCGAAAACGCTAACTCATTCCTCGAGCAATACCTTCGCCAATATGTCAGCTTCGCTCAGGACGACTGGGATGAGTGGCTCCCACTGGCCGAGTTCGCGGCCCGCAACGTTGTCAACGATTCAACTGGCATGTCCCCTTTTTTCGCGAACACAGGCTACCACCCCCGAATGAGCTTCGGTCCCCCCCGAGTTGTCCCAAAGCCAGCACCCAAAGACGTAGCGGACCGCTGCAAGGAGGGCAACAACTTCGTCACCAAGATGCAAGAGATCACCGATCTACTCCGGACCAACCTGCTTTCAGCCCAAGCCTCACAAGAAAAATTCGCCAACGCAAACAGATCACCAGCGCCAGCTTATCGAGTCGGAGATATGGTTCTACTAAGCACGCGTAACATCAATTCAGCCAGACCCATCCCAAAACTTGATTACAAGTTCATTGGCCCTTTTCGAGTAGAGCGCGTGCTCAGCTCTCACACCTACCAGCTCAAATTGCCACACGAATTAAGCTCAATTCACAACTCATTCCATACCAACCTCCTGCGACCATCACCAAACGACCCACTCCCCGGCCAGTACAACCCACCACCACCGGCAATAGCACTGGACGACAGAGGCGAGAAGCTCTGGGCGATTGAAGAAATACTGGACTCGAGACGCAAAAAAGGGAAAGGTTTCCAGTACTATATACTATGGAGAGGCTTTGATCATAAGGAAGCAACATGGGAACCACTGCACAATGTCGTCAACTCCCACATAGCAATCAAAGAGTTTGAGAAACGCCACAGAAACAAACCCAGACCGACGAGGCAAGAAGTACAAAGCGCCCGACACCAAGCGAAGCAAGATGTCAAAAATTCAGAAGCGAGGGAGTAAAGAGGGACCATATGTGAGGGGATCATGTGACCTG